GAAGGATTATTAAAGTTAGGTACAGTAGTAGGTAAGTTTACCCTTCCACTCATTCCAGAACTAGGTGGTGGTCCCGACCTGCTAGCATTTGCTGGTGGCATATCTAGATTGGCAGTTTCAAAGCGCCTACGACTGAGTTCTATCATGTTTTGCATTTCAGTTTTACTGCTCAGCAATAGTGTTACTTTTGACCCTTTAATTGTACCACCTGTGCGCATCATACCAAGCCTTGCATCTTCATCAGTGGCAAAAACGATGAAAGCCTCACCCAGTTCACCCCCTACAATATGCACGCCCCCATCAGGAATGGTCAATCCAGAGAAGAAGTGGCGAATGTCCATGGTCCCCGCCACAATCGGGAGACCTTGCAAGCGGATGACCACAGCCATGCTGCGCTGAAACAACACACACCTGCAGATGAGAAAAGGCAACGGCTATGTCAGACTACTGATTATGACACCATGCATTTACCTACAGACACCATCTACTACATTTGTTTACATACTCCTAACAACATCTTGCAAAGATTAAGAATGTTTATATTCCAAGTTCTTTATTCTTGTTCACTTGCTTCATATAGATTGAAGTATTAAACATTTACCAACACAATTAGTGTAAGGTTTGCACTGCAAATTCCAAAATAAACTGTTAAACTGAAACCCACAAGTGTCAGTACAAAAAACCTAAGGACAGCAAAAAATCAGAACTATCATATCAACAGTTCAATAATTAACGGAACATAAGCAAAATGAGTATTTCAGCTAAGCAAATAAAATTCAGTTACCACACATTGATAAGGTATCCATTGTACCTGGCAAAGCGACTGCCAAAAAGTCTGAACACCTATGGGCAATAAGGAGTTCTTTCTCATTTGAAAAGGGATTTTAACATCTGTCAGGTGATTAAGATGGGGAACACACAGTGGGTTATGAACTGAAATCCATTATGCACAACTAGAAACACCTAGGAATCACTAAACGCCTTAACAGTGGCCCTTATAATGAGCTTACATTTTTCTCCTAGCAAAGACAAGAGGCTGAGGTGACAATGGAGTTAGTTAACAGCTATGAACTAACCCCAAACATTTTGTGACTTGAGATATAAACCTTGTCTAGACTAGATAAACATCTGTGCATAGTCTAGCTAAATACCTTGGTTTTAATACATTAGATTTTGAAAGTCTTAAAGGCAAAGTATAATTTTTAAGAGCTGTGTATGTTCTGTCTAGCAACACCTCCAGTCTCTGGCACAAGTAAATTACTTTACCCCTGTAGCTAGTTGAGGTTAGTGGAAGCTTAAGATTAATTTCAAACAGCTAGATCTTGATGAAAGTTACCTTGTACACATTCTACAGAAGACCCTGAGGTTACCTCAGAAGGTCAACATAAACACTAATTTAGGTAATTCTCGCTTACTCTTGACAACCCTTCGGTAAAGATTGAAAACATCATAATACTAGCACAGTTCATCCATTCAGGAGCCAACCTTTTATCCAAAACAGACAGCAGCAGCTTCTTTCACCTGAACCACTCCTTCCCTGAAGCTTCTTAGCTTCCTAAGTACCAACCAGGTCAGAATCCGTATGGGAGACCTTTGAGGCTCCCACTTGCCACGCATAAATGTTGTTAATATACTCATTAGGCATTTGAAATCAAGGATGAACCAGATGACACAATGCAATGTCAAGAGGCAGTGCACCATGACCAGCTATGTTCATTAACTATCCCACATTTCACATTCAGTTAAGCATTATATCCCAGCGCACAGTTAAATCTTAAGTCAGATGCATTTGCCTGCCCAGGTTTTCCAATGAGTTTAGAGTAGAGACTCAAACTACCAGGTAAAGCCACTGTCCAACAATTTAATCATGTGACAATAAGGCTGAATTCTGTACTTAATGAAAACAATAGTAATGACTCTTATGAGGAAAAAAAAACAATTCTTTTGTTGGCACAGTGGAACTTCAGGTTACTAAACTGGGCAGTTAAGTATTTTGTTTTGTTGCCCATAAACCAGAGTTAACCCTCTCCATGCACTAATCACCCCAAAAAACATGGTAGAGTATTACAGAGCATTAGCTCACACTTAGTTGGTAAGTGTGGATGACCCTTCTCCCTCAAGGAAACAGCAGAGAAGCCCAATGGCACAGTGTCATCAGCTCTGCTGCTCTAGCTTTTGTAAATGAATACTTAATTTCTTACTAGATCATTAAAAAAAAAAAAAAAAAGAGAGAGAGAGCGAGAGAGAGAGACTGGAACTTGTAAGAAAAACATGAGAAGGTATAAAAATCTATATATACACCACTAAGAAAATCCCTATTTCAGCAACAAAGGCAAAAACAGGAAGGGAAATGTATACTAAGCTTTTATTAGAGAGCAAGTTCCCCATCTCCTGGCAAGGTATAACTTCGAGGAAAAACAAAACAAGACAAAAACAAAACAAAAATCAATGTGTTCCATTTATCTCTTCTAATCACACTTTAATTTAACTTGAGAACAAAATTGGCTGCCTAATCATTTTCCAACAGCAAAATAAATGGCCCACAAGAGAAGGAAACGTCAAAATAAGAAATAGCTATGCTAGGTACACACCTAGGAAAACATTTAAAACTTTTTGCACTGTTTTAAAACTCTGCTATTTTTCAATGGTTTTGTAGATCTATTTTAAGTTTGTCCAACATTGCTATCAATCTCTGAAATCAAAGTTAAAAACTGTTTACTTTAAGGAAGTCATACTAAAGCAGACTGTAAAACAAACTTGTTGCATTACGCTACAGGATTGATTTCAAATTAGATGATCCTGAAGCAAGTGAGTGGCATAAAAGCATCCCTATTACTGCATCCATGCTTTGAAAACTACAAGAAAAGGTCGTTTTAAAAGCTTGCTAAGATGTTTGCATATTTTGTATTACCTGTTATAAAAAGCAATGAGTTTCAGAAACTTTTAAAACATCTGACTCCTGAAGTGCATCTTTCTTCTGTTAAATGGGAGATTACTTTTTCATAGTCATTTCCTTGCTAATGCAAAAGGCGTGACAATTGGATATGGCCATAAGTTGAACAAAGGCAACTTGGGAAGGTTTCTCTACTCAGATCTACTGGTTTAGAATGAGTATTCTCTATCAGAATCGACAGGCTGCTAGGTAAGCACACTTAGTAGTGATTCTGTGAATCTAGCCCAGAAGACAAATTAAGAGATGAAGCACAATAAAAAAGAATTCTCTAAGAGTTTAAGCATTTGAACATTTACGTAACTTCTGGGATAATGCAAGTATCTCAATCTTGCTCTTAATTCAAAACTTCATTAAAAATACTGAGGGACATTTTAAGTTGTTTTGCTAAGTATGCTATTTAGGTCTTAGGAAACCACTACGGATCCAGGAAAAAAGGAAAAAAAAAAAAAAAAAAGCTATTTAGGCACTTACATTAAGGCATACAATTGCTCGAAAAACCAACCACAATGACCTCAGTATAACTGATTCCATGCATCATTCTAATTAAGTGCTTGCTATTAAGCAAGAGGTAGCAGTAGCAGGGTATTAAGAAAGAATTTTAAAGACTTCAAGTCTTTTAGCAATAAAGATTTTGTCAATTCAAAATGAAACTGCTTCAAAGTTACTCAGGATTTCAGTGCTTTGTAACACAGTATTAATGTCTCTGTGACATGAGGAAAAAATCAAATGGTGCTACAAAACAGCAAGATTTCATATACATAGGCATTCACAAATCAGATTTTTTCAAAAGGCACTTGAGTGACAATAATTTATTCAAATTTTCAAACTAACGAAAAAACACAGTCTACTCAAATGTTTCAGTGTTGATTTGTTAGAGAGGTGTGTGTGTGTGTGTGTATACACGTATATATAAATATATACACATATGTATGCATACATATGCAGGGACAAGATTAAGCGGCAGACATGGAACAGGCCACATGCCTATTTAGTGTATGTTGAAAGCTTTTTGTTGGACTGTTGGAGATGTACTCAAGGCTTTTTTCCTCTAAAACAGGTTATTTTCTTTTTTATTTCTTTTCTTTTTTGTTTTTAAGAGACGGGAAGCATAAAAATCAAAAGTTATACTATAGACAAAGAAAAACTACTACAGACACAAAGAAAAATTAAAAACCTGCCAGCAAACAATCTGGTTCAAGTCATTCAATAAACCTTAAAAGCATGTTTATCCATCTCAATAGTCATGCGTTCAGAAACATTGATATTGCATTAGAAAAGGGTGTACAGCACTAAAGGAGAGTACTACCTCTTCAAACTATGCATTGTTCAGTAAAACAAGCAGAAACTGGGTCATATGTATAAAACAGTAGAACAGAAAACACCAGACCAGCCTTTTAAGACATACGTATTCCTCAAGCTAAGACAAGTTTAGACTCAGCCTAGTCCTTAGGGAGTGTTAATCCACAATATCCACACGGTACATGCACGCAACATATTTGGCAGTTCTTGGATGAAGACTGGGAACTGGAATAACATTGGTGTTGTAGGAGGAATTTAAAGTATCTAGGTCATGACTGTCTAGCAATAGCTAAAACTGCAGAACGCTGGGCTTTTGGGAAAAGGCTAAAATTAACCTGTTAGATTAGGACAGCTTCAAATTAGCTCAGCAATTACTATCTGAACCCTTTAACTGCTGCAAACCTATTTAGAACCAACTAAAATACACTTTTACACTCCAACAGTTAGAAACAGGCAGACCTACGGCCTGCAGCAAAATATATTTTCAAACAGTGCAAAATAACTGGAAGACTGTTCAGGACTACCACATGCTGATGAAACAACAAAACATTAGTTTGGCAGAAAATTCCGTTTACGAGAACAACATTGTCAGAATGACCATCACCAGTGGGAGTCAAGTGAAAAGACCAACTATAGGTTATTTGACCCAGCTGTTCTGATACCAATTCAGAAGTTCCAAAAGCTTCAATTATTTCTTAACATATACTCAATAGGCATAAAAAGAAGTCTTCAGTTCAAAATCTCTTACCTGCAAAAACAGATGTTTTTTTCTTAACAAGTAGCAGAAGCCAAGCCAATCCTGTGGGCAACCAATTAAAACCAACTTTTAGACTGCAATAAAGAATAAATGGAGGCAAAAATCAATGCAGGCAACACAAGAGCAGTAACAGTCCACAAAGAACTGTTTATATAGAAAGTTCAATCCTGAGACCACCACAAGGCACTGAAACATACAGCAACCACAAGAGTGCATTTTCTAATACTCTATATCTGTATCACTTTTTGACAATTACATTGCACAGTTATTGTATAGTTTCAAGACATGAACATGTCTTCCCAAAAGACTATGAAAAGAACCAGAAAACATTCAGAGCATTTTTCATGTTTTTTCCATTTCCAATAGCTGAACACATCACTACCTTCCAAAGGCAGATTAAGAAACAAATACTTAAGAACCTGAATTTTAATAAACCTTTGCTCTATCAATTGGTACTAATAATATTCCTTCCTTCAACTGTGCTTCTTCTTACTTGAACAAAGCAACACCAGAAAGCCGCAAATCAAAAATCTCTCTATGGCTGCATGTGAACAATTTTTCAAGCGTCATACAAACTGGTGAAACTAAGTTGCATTTCACAGACAGTAAACTGAGAGGTGACATCTCTATGCAGTCACCTTTATAAAGCATATAGTAAGAATTCCTTGCTCGGATAATATCTTTTTATTTGTAATCTGCCATTTTATAATCCAACTCCTGATCCAAAACCCATTTTTTTCATACTTCAGAGCATTAAAACTGTCTTCCCGGGAATATGACTCAACAAGAAAGCGAGACATTTCAAGGAGGAATACACGTATTTCTTATTTAAAGAAGGGATGGAAAACCTCTTGCCCTTCCATTGCTTAGCATACCATCTTAAACCAAAATTTTGATTCTCTGGAAAACTACCCAGAAGAGAACCACACACTAGGAAGATACAACTGCCGCCTCCTCATACAGCTCAAGCAATTTTCAGTTATAAGCATTATTAGCAAAGTGAACTTACAGAAAGAAGTACTAGCAAACATCCATAAACTCCCTAACAGAAAGGATTAAAATGAACAGAGACATTCATGGATCTTTCAGAACATTTAACAGCAGACTTGCAAATGAGAAAGATGCAACTATGCCCTTCAGACTTACATTAAAACAGCATATATGTTCAACAAAAGACTATGTATTTTAAGTAGACCTTTAAGGAAAAAAAAAAAAAAGGCAATCCTGTATTTGGAGGATTCAACTATATACTTTCATATCTGGCACAGTTTCAAACAGTAATTTACAATGCAGGAAATAATATAATCACCTGAAGAACAGTTTCATGCAAAAATACATCTGCTTTAAGAACCAGATAGATCTATTGTGCACGAGAAACTTTCCATTTGAAAACAACAACAACAAATCATTCAAGACAGTTCCAGTACAGCAACCACAAAGTTGCATATGCGTCTTTTTTATGACACTGAAAACAACCTGAAGATCTGCAGTGCCCTACCTAAGGCGACATGCTATAACGTGAAACACCACATACACAAAACCAAGCAGCATTCTTCAGAGAAGGTGCAAAACTCCACTCTATCATGTTTAACTTCTCCATCAAACATCATCATCTATTTACACAAAGAAGTCTCAATTCTCTCATCTTTAAAGGAAAAAAAGCACACATCACCCTCATAGGTAAAGACATCCCCTCCAATCAACCTGGTGCTCAAGAGTACATTAACTAAGTAAACACAGACTAGGGTACAGCTGCTCCCTTACAACCCTGACACCATACCTCAATGACTTCACAGAAAAGAATAATCCACAGTATAATACAATAGTACTAACTATAGAGAAGAACAATCATCCAAAAAAAACACAAAGCAGTTGATGAAACAACTTTAGGAGGACTCCAACGAGGAAACAACCTGCCGATTTACTTGCCTACCCCCAACAGATCCAGGTGGGGAAGGACACATGCTAAAAATGAACGAGTTTAAGAAGGACTAGTGAAACAAGGGCCAAGAGTTTCCTCGAAAGAAGGTTTAGACAGATCCTAAGCGTACTTCTAGGACTCGGTTCGATTTAACTTGTGTTTATGGAACTAATTTGTATTAGTGAAAAACATCGTAGATTACTGCAAAGCAAATTCGCTAGCATTTAAAGAGCACCCCCGCCAAGTGGTGGCAGGGCCGCAGGCGCCAGGATCCTTCTTCCCTGGAAGGCGCAGAGCGTTCGCCCCGCTTCGTCCCCCGGGGCCCGGCGAGAA